GTCTCGTATCTTTCAGCCGCACGCATCGGGCCGACGGATGGAGGATGGCAACAGAGCGTCAGAGGAAGCAAATTATGTTTTAGCATTAAACGCGAAACGAGTAATCCACACTCTCCCACCCACATACACACATACGCAGAGACATACTTTTATACAAAGGACATGCTCATGCACATGAAAATGTCATCGTCTGCTCAAATGTCAGACTGTCCGCCCATATTCCGCTCATTTATTTATAGACTTGATGAGCACTACGCGCGCTAATGCCATTTGCATACCTCAGATACTGAGTGGATTTGTCAATTGACAAGTGAAGCGGACAGGAAACGACAAATTTTTTGATAGAATGTGACAGCTTCACTGGGAGTTGAAATGCAAAACGTGAAATGCGAAAACTAAACTCGATTCTCTGTCCTAGATACGCAGACGACACATTTGAATTCGTAAAAGCACTTTACAGAAATTAAGCGAAAATTCAATTAGCAATTTCTGTTCTTTCAATTAATTCGATATAATTAGATTGTTAGAGATTGAACAGATTGAAATTCTCTTAATTTCAGTTACATGCAGTAGCCAATAAAATGTTAAGTTTTAATTTGATCGAAATCGTTTCTACCTTTTTATACCCTGAACACGTTGAAAATTAAAAATAAAAGATTTACCCATAGGGAATAGGCAAAAGGAGTCCTGATGACTCAGTTTAGATATTAATCTTGATCACGGTGACGAGTTGAGTCTATCTAGTCATATACGCAAGCCATCAAAGCTAAAAACATCAAATTTGAGATATATATTTTTTTCTATATTACGCAGTAAAAGTTTATGGTTTTCGATATTCCATGTCATTTTGCTTAGAAAAAATCAATTTCTTATCTAAGCATAACTTGAGCAGGATAATATCTACAATCAGCATCCTGTATGAATACATCGATTTTAAATATTTCCACTTTTATAAACGTTATCCCATATTAATAATAATACAATAATAATAGTCAGAGAAACAATTGAATAATTTTTAAAATCGTATCTTAAACTTTGTCTTTTAATACTTAGTAAAACAAAGCGTGCAGTAATATACACATATATATCTTCTAAAATATATTTCAAAATACGAGTAAATGAAATTTTGAAGCACAAGTGTTGAGAGTAAGTGTTTTTCAATTGTTTATCTGTATCGAATGAATAATCTTAAGCATGAAGATGAATATTTAACATGGCACAATTCAAGCTTGTTTCGATCGGGTATAGGTATGTATGTAGGTACGCATTCACATATGTATATATATAAATAGGGTAAGGTCTATGATGAATGATAATGGTTGTCAACACTTACGTAAATTTGTACAAACAGCTCAGCGAGTTGGCTTATTAGAGGGAATGGTAAGTGCTGCTTGTTGAATTTGCATTGGGCAAACAGTTTACACACAGCGTGGACAGTTTGTACAGTTTCATGGATATAATATGCTTGTTTCTGTATAAATATTAAATAGTCGTTGGCATGCATTTATGAAGCGGCTGCCTTCAGAATTTTGAATTCGGTGTCAGGCAAGTGGCATGTGACGTGATGTACTGAAGTCTAAAGAAGTACCAATACAAAGGCTAACACAAAGACAAGCACAACAAACAGAGGCGCACATACGGAACAGACTTCAACATATAATATACAAATATATATATATATTTTTTTTTGTTTTATATACGGCATACAAACGCCTTTAAGCGTAGACAAACATGACGTAAACACCCAAAATGTATGCTAGCTTATTTTTCCATAGTTCCACAGTTGTACTTGAAGGAATTTTCCATATTTCGTTTATTTCATTTGGTCTGCGATAATTTCGTGCGACTGTAGTCACTGGAATAACCACAAACGATTTGATTTAATAAAGTATTTTTTTTAAGTGTCGCGGGGGCGTGGCAGTCAGACATAGCGACGACATCAAGGACATTTAATAAGGCGCAGCGCACACAAAGAGCAACAACAATGGCCAAGACAAGCAGAAGCACAATAACAACAACAGCAAAGTGTGTCACACTGAACACACACATGAACACGCAAGCACACCAACGCACACAGGCACACACACTTGCTGACTAACGCAATGTCATTAAAGTAACGGGTCACGATCAAAATGCCAACGGCTGTCGTTGCCGATGTCGATTGCTAATTAATCGATTTCACATACTGAAACTCAGGCCAAAAAGACGATTACACAACACTGCAAAAATGCAACGGCACTTGCATTGCTCAAATTCACTTTCACTTGCTTTTTTGGCACTCACACGCGACAAATACTGCGGAATAAATTCTTACTTGGCTCTTATTTTGGCTAAATTTCTAGCCGACGTTTTTGGTTGTTATGCTTGTTGTTGTTGCTATTGGTATTGCTATTGCTCATGTTATTGCTATTTGAAATGTTACTATATATCTGTTTACATGCGACTGCAGAAAACGACGTCTGTTGCGTACGAGAGCCGAGGACGGACTAAAGCACGAGCCTTTTAACTGAGTTGACTTTGAGCCGAAGGACTCGTGACTCGTTTAGCTTTCGTTCTTGCATTCGTTGAGCTCTTTAGAATTGAGTGAGTTTTTTCCTTCAATAAGACGATGCGCATTTCTGCATCGCACAGACAGGCAACCAGACACGTAAATAATTAAATTTTTAAATAAGATTATGCAATCGTTTTTAACTCGTCCAATTTGTATTTGTGCATTGGTGTATAAATATGCGATTTACTTTTAGTATGACAAATTTTAATTTTGCACTAGATTAAAATGTACAAGACTACACTAAAAATAAAAAAATCGTAAAGTTTTAATATATGTTATTTGAGAGAAACTTTATATTTAATCCTAATAACAACCAAGCATCTACTACTATTATTATACCTAGTGTAGGGTATTTAGCAGTTCATAATGCAAAACGATTGCTGCTGATTGGGTAACGGTTTCTGTTTTTGTTTTATTTTTATTTTTGTTTTTGTTATGTAGCTTCCTGCCATTTGCCGCTTGCAGTTTTGGGCTTACTCAGTTTTTGCTGCGGCCAGTGCGACAAGTAAAATTTCCGGTTTCCGCTGTGCATTAACTTCCACGTGCGTTCAGGGCACTCTCTGCGACCAGGAGGCCACTATTTAAACCGACAAGTAACGCCAATTGCTGTTTATAAGCCAGGTCTGAACGTCCAATAAAAATTTTTGTGCAATTGGCACTGCAAAATGCGAACTCATTTAAATTTCAAACAATCTTTGGCATGAAACTGAGTGCCACATGGGGGTGTGCGGTGGCAGACGGCAGCTGGCAGTTGGCAGTGGGGGGTGGTAATGGGCGTTGGGATTGGGCCGAAGCTCGGGTTTGGTTAGTACACCCGAGGGCATTGGGTGCAAATGAGCAAAGTTGAGCGTCCTCTTTGTTTATGACTCAGACGCCGTTGGCAGGGCATGAAAGGAGGCGCCCTTGTGTAAAAAATCGCATTGTTTTGTTGAGTGTGTGCGTCTGTGTGCGTGTGCTTGTGTTGGTATTTGTGTTCGTGAGTGCTTAACAGCAACGACAACAACAGGGCAACACATGTCTCAATGCTGAAAGCAACCTGTTGTGGCCGTTGCGTCTATAAATACAGTCAAATGTGGGTCCAATTTATACGAACAACATGGATAAGGCCAATAAGCGATGCAAATGTTGTACGATTATCGTTATTATATACATTTATTTTTATTTTTAATCTTTTTTACTATTATTGTTGTAAGTATTTTTATTCTTATTTTATTAATTCTATTATAGTTTTATTATATCAAAACTAATATTTGCTTTGATTTTATATCCAACAACAACTTAAATTCTTTGTATGCATAGCAATTATTTTTAATATAAATTACCACTAATTTACTCTGTCAGCAATCATTATTGTGAATAATTATTTAAATGAATTCATAGATGACAAGATAAAATGCATTCATAGAACTTAGAAACTTGCGTTGAGAGATTAATCATTAACTGAGTCGATCTAGAGTTAAGTTTAGCAATAGAGGCAAATTCTAAAGTAGATTTTTACGTTTTCCAGTTTCAATAGAGTTTCTCAATGGAATAGATTTTCGTTTTAGGGCTTAAGCTTCGGGCTCAATTTTATCTCTGTCTTCGTCGGCCTCTCTCTCTCCCTCTCTCTCTCTCTCTCTCTCTCTCTGCATCTCTTTCGCTCTGAAACTCTCTCTCTCTCTCGCTCTCTGCATCTCTCTCTCTCTCTTCCTCTCCTTACTATATGTTGCAACATTTAAGTATTTTCAGTATGATCTCAGCTCTGAAATCTTGTAAATTGCATGGAAAACCCATTTAACTCACGACTGTTGGATTTTAGCTTTTTGTGTTTAATGGATTTATTTAAATTTATGGCACTATGACTGTCTCTCAAAAAAAGGTACTGTAATACAACTTTGAAAGTTTTGTGGGCTTTAAGTATTTATTTATTGATTATTTGAAAAATGTTTAAAGCAGGAAATGTAAACAGGTTTTCTATGTATCTATTTAAATAATCATCAGCAGAGTATCGAATAATGTCTTCCCCTTGCTACTGTAGGTAAGCTGAACATATTTGAAAATTGTATTGTAACTGTAATTGTTTAATAAATTCATATATATATATATATATATTTTCAGATCGACTGTTTGGTAACAAAGGCACAGCGCAAGATTTGTTGAGCTGTATTTTCAAACAGTTTTATTGATTGACTGATGATTAGCAATGAAAAACTCTTATGTCTTACCACTAACCTAAGGCATAGATGGGACATCTGGTTCAAACTTGTTCAACGCATGCAACTTCTGCAGGAGGTCCCACTCAACCCAAAATTTCATACTGTAAAAAAGAATTATATATTCGAAAAAGTTGTGGATAAAATATCAGTTTGTACGCACATCTATAAATAGGTCTTTCGATTATGATTGAATATAAATAAGTATTTTATTATAGTTGATTAACATCTAATTGTATTTACTAATCAAGCTGGCGAGAGCAATCGATGTCCCAGCGAGGAGCCTTCGTTTGCAAGTGCTCACAGTGGAAGTGTCGACTGTATCCAGGGCAAATAGGCGCCCACATTCACGTAGACGCCGGGCACATTTGCCTGCCCGCAGCCAATGCCCCAGGCGACGAGGCCAACCACATACCAGAGCCCATTGCTGGTGCAGACGAGGGGAGAGCCGCCGTCGCCGGTGCATGCATCCTTGCCAGCTTCGCCGCCGGCGCAGATGAAGCTGATGGGGTTGAGGGCAAAGGCGGGACCGAGGCGCGTGGCCTGCAGCGCCGTTTGGCAGTTGGCATTGGGTATTAAGGGTACATCCACCTGACGCATAATCGCCTGGTATGCGCCCGTCGGTCCAAAGTCATTCTTGCCCCAGCCAGCCACCCAGCAGCGCTGCCCCACGAAGTTGATGCTCGGCAGGCAAATGGTGCCAATGGTGGAGCGGCTGGTTAGAGAGACGGGCGTGGCCAGCTTCAATATGGCCACATTGTTCTGTAGATTGTTGGGATTGAAAGCGGGATTCACATACACATTAGAGACGAGCACATCTTGCGCCGGTATTGGCTCACTGATGCTGGCCGCATTCCATTCGCCCAGGCGCACCTTAAAAGAGGTCAAACTGGCACAGATTTAGGATGAGCTGTGGAGTCTCGCCTTGCTGTACTTACGCCAAATTGTAGACCTTGTGGGCAGCTGTTAGCACATGTTGTGCTGTGATTAGCGCCCCACCGCCCAGATACACGTCCGCTGTGGTCAGCAGCGCAGCTTGCCAAGGATATGCGCCGAAGCTTGCTTGACCAGTGCTAGCCAGCGCCGAGCCTGGCGGCGGTGGAAAACGCAATCCGCATTGATAGTTGCCTGCCTGGCAGCAGGCCACAAGCCCATAACTGCAGGTCAAAGGAGCTGCCGTAGTGCCTGGTGTGGGCTGAAAGCAGATCAATGATTAGACTGAAAGCAGACATTGATTAGACCAACTCACCAATCCGCCATTGTTCACAATGCGTATGTCCAGCTGACCACTGCCATCGTTCGGAGGCGTGGGCAAGGGATTCGGACAGGATCCAGGTGGCACGCAACGGCAATTACTTGCGGTCGGTGTCACAATGGCGGTTAACGGAGGCACCAAGGTGCCCACAATCAATTGTCGCGCGAGCACTGCAAGAGGTCAAGTCACAGTTGTTTTATATACCTGACACTTTGAACTTACGCGTATGATTATCCAGGTTGCCTGCATCGCTGGGCTGTGGTGCAGTCTGCTCGGCTAGGGAGCCAAAGCTCCAGCAGCGCACAGCAGTGCCACGGAGCAGCTGGCAGAGCAGCAGGCTAAGTGTTAATCGTAATGCATTCATCGCCTACACAATGGCAACTAACCTGGTTGAGTGACGCGCCCGTTGGCTATATAGGGCGACCCGAGCGTACGTCCAGCAAATAAATTACCGACCAAACGACCTCAGTTCGGAGTTAGCCTCAATTCAGGGATTTTCCGAGCTGCATAGCGCAAAAAACCGCTTTTAAGCGCAATCATAGAAAAATAACATCAATCAATACGACATATAAATGCTCTAAGCCAACTGTAGGACAGTGTAACACAGGTCAACAAATGCCATAACTATATATGAAAGTGATAATACTTTCTTCTCTCTCTTATCTTTTTTAATTTTTTATAGCCTGCTGACATAGGGCTGCCGAGGGGAAATTGGGGTGTCGTGCACTTCATCATTGAATTCAACAAACGATATCTGGAAGATAACGAATGATTTATTAATCATGTAAAAGATGTAGTGGAGTCAAAGCTCACATCTTTCAGTAATATTAAAATATTACAATATTAGAATATCTAGGTAACTGTTTTTAGAGCTGTATTATTATCAATCTATAGTCCCTATCTGGATACTAATACAATTAATTATATTTTAAACTATTTGAGCTTAACTTTTTGAGTTGGAAAACGATTTTGCTCTTATCAATCGAAATTTATAAAACAAAGATAAAATTTAATTTTTATTTTAATATACAAGTTTTTATATCAGTTTATAATAATATAGCTTATATTTCATATAATATATTTTTTAAATATTTCAAATAAAAATAAAATTAAAATTAATTAATTAATTTAGATGTATTAAATTAATAAAAATAAAAATATAAAAAGTTAATTGAATTTATGCAAGTTTCTATTTTTAAGAATTTATATATAATATATAGACATCACTTAGGCCAAAGTTGAATGTGTAGCTTATGATTTTATTTTGGTTTGTCAGTGTATATCGTGTCAGCAAGTAGGTGTGTGCGTGCCGTTGTGTATGTGTGAAAATTAAATAAACAAACGGCCATCCATAATAACAAATAAATTTTGTACACTCACCCGTAAGCGCTGGGGTTAGAAAAAATGTTGTGTGTGTTCGATATGCGGTCATTGGATAATAAATAAATTGCGCTGACAAATTTTATAGCGATTATTTTCATTTCGCTTTTCATTTTTTCATTGTGTGTGTGGTGGCTGTGACAATTTTTGATTTGATTTTAACAATTTAATGGTTTAATTGTGCAAGCATGCACGAGCATGAGCATTACTATAATAGTTTCTATTGTTATTATTATTGTTGTTGTTGTTGCTGGCAAACACTTAACACTTCGATAAACATTCTCACTAAACAAAAATCACCGTAAGACCCTTAAATATGTTAAGCTTAGATAAAGAAAGTTTTGAATGCAAAGCTTTTGCCTTATCGACCAGGTCGAGGCGGTTGACTGGGTAGGAATTCAATTCATATTACGAATCGAAATGTTCAGCGGTGGTCACGTATTATTGGACTTCTCGGCCATACCCAAGTTGTATGGGCCAGAGAATTTTTGGCATTGGCGCATGCTCTTGCGTGCCTACTTGGAGTCAGCTGATCTATGGAAGGACGATCATCCAAAGGAGGTGAGCCTTATTTTCCATCTGAAGGCTGTGACATAGTTTAAAAATTTTCATTAAAATTTTTTTATCAATATTTTTTTTAGAGCTCTCATGCTAAATTCATACTTTTGGCCACTGTGCAGGCTGATAAGATTGAGCCAGGATATGATGATGAGACCCCAAAGCAAATATTTAAAAGTCTAGAGGAACGTTTCCGCCCCTATTAAATGGCACTATAAAATATTTAAAATTTAATGGGCAATGTCTAATAAGCATAATAAACAGATTTAATCAAAAGGAAAATCTTGGTTAAAAGTCTTTGTTTTTTTTTTATAATTTAAGCGATTTACCTTTAGTTGTAATGTGGGACATTTTATAATTATTTGTTTAACCGTATATATGTAATAAAAATTGCATTTAGAACCATTTGTCTTCATAAAAACTAATTAAATTAGAGCCGATTAAAAATGTGTGGGCGAAATACTTTTTGAATATAAGTTTTGGCGCGCAAATGAGATGTACGTGAAGTTGGCTGCGTGCAATTTTTTGCTCACGTTAAGGTGGCTGCACAACATACTGAATTCACTTGAAGTTGGTTGCGGAACTATATATATTTATATTGTAGAGCTTGTTCATGGAGAGTTTATATTAAATTCAATGATTTCACAATAATCAAAATTGCAACTGTAAGCTATATATTTATTGTATTACATTGCCATAGTTAGTTGGGTTGTAATTGAACAGGTTGGCAGCTCTATGTTAAGGTCACACTCTAATAGCTTCAAAACCAATCGATATATTTCATATCGTACTATCGACTTAAGCCGTTTTTTACTTTCGATAACAGTTGCACTTCAGAAGTCAAACCGTGAAGACGTGCGGAGTGCTTGTGCTCAATATATGTTTTCTAACTAAACGTTAGTGTTAAAATACCTTTTAACTAATGACACTAAACCAAAACATGCGAAAGTTTTTTCAATACTAACAACGAAATAAAAGCAAGCTAAGGCCCTAATAAACGACTGTTATAAAAACTAGCGCGAACAGCAAAGACACAAAATCAAAGCAGTCCAAGAAGAGGAAGAAGCCAAAACAACGCGACATCGACACCTGTTTGCCTGCATTCCTGAACCTGTGCAACACTGTGCTCTTCGGTGTGTGTGTGTGTGTATGTGTATGTGTATATGTAATATTGAAGAATACAAACTACCAGACGAATTCTATTTTTTAAACAGGGTTTAAATAATTATCAATTTGTTTGGCCATTGCTGCAATTGCAACACTTAGCAGCCGCCACGCCTGCGCAGAAGCAACAACAGCAGCAACCATAACAGCAACAGCAACAACATAAACACAAACAGAAACGAAAACCGGTTAGAGTGAGACGAGAAGACCGCACGCACACACAGCTGCAAGCAGCTCACAAACATAGTTTGTATTCGTTTTTTGTTTGCTTTTGCTTGGAAAATAGAAATAGAAGGAAACACACACAAAAAAACAACAAAAAGAAAAAGAAATAATCAATTGCAAGTGGTGAAAAGTGTGACGATATACAAAGAAAACAAAAAGCCAATTCACACGAAATAAGAAATTAGAAATAATTTGTGCCGTGCGCGGAAATTGGGTAACAAAAAAAGAAAAATAATAATAATACAAAAATTGTAAAAATATGTTTGCATAAGGGTTAATGCCCAAGTGCCTTATCGCTAAACAAATCGATGGCCGTCGTATAACGAAAGTGAATTAAGGCCCCAAAATAATTGTAACAGCAGTTTCTCAACCTGTTTCGAGAGGTTGGCCCTTATCTGAAACGCGGAGCCACTTGTTGTCCGAATTGGTGAGTAATACCCTAAATATTCTTTCTTGCTTCGCCCAAATCTCTTTACCTGGCTCGTTGAAATGTCCCCGACGCGGAGTCTTTTAGCTGCGTACGATATTCACTTCCCAACGGATCATTGACCAACATTTGAACTGGCTCCGAGTGAACCAAAAAACGATTCAACTTTCACTGAATTGCGCGCCAAAATTGAATCGGCTAAGCAACAAGCGCAAATTTTATAGCGAATACCAAATTTGATATGCAATCGAGTTTTCTCTTGTAAATCAAATTTATTTCATGTATCTGTTTTGTGGCTTTTCTTGTTGTTGCTGTTGCTTTTGTTATTATTGTTTTCGTTTGGGGCTGATGTAACCAAAAGCTGATTGCCGAACCGATTTGCAGCTTCATTAAGCTCAACTCGCCTCAAATTGAGTGTAAGGCGAGGCGAAGCTGATTATGAGATAATCAGCAAATTGCTCAACACAATTGCGGAACACGCTGCAAGTCATGAGAGAAAGAGTTTTAACTGTTACCCATTTCCTCGGATCATAGGCAGACAAGTAAGGCGTAATTGTGTACATTAAGTAAGGCTAATTAAATGTCTGCCTAAAAAGTTCAAGAAACCCCATGCAGCTGGCTTAGAAATGCAGTTATATTAAATTCCAACCACCATCTTTAGCTTAGCTATCATTAATTTTTAGTAAATATATTTCTCATTCCTTCAATTGATGCCAAAAATCGATAAATATTCATTTTTAGCTGATGTGTTTAACAAGTTCTAGCTTCATGAAAATTAGCCACAAAAAATTTCAAAAAACCAAGTTTAAGCATAAATGATTAAAGAATTACATAAAAAATATATTTTTTTATCTGTAAAAAAGTCATAAGCTTATCTACAGCTAATAATAGATGTTTTTAGCTTCAACTTAGTTACTTCGGCTAATTGCAACATGTTAGAAAATTTCAAGCATGACTCATGGCAGTTGCTCCATTCATTCAAATGGCTTGCTGCATAAATGAATACAAACTGGAAAACAAAATTCCAACTTCAATAGTCCAAAAATTCCCACCACAAAAAAAAAATAAAAGCTGCAGAAATAAACAAATAGCAGCAGCAGCGGCAACATTTTTAAGCCAAGCCGTCAACAACAACTTTATAAAAAAGCAACAACAACAACAAGACACAAACTATGCAAAAAGTTATATAAAAAACACGTTGAACAGTGTGTGTGTGTGTGTGTGGCAACAGTGCTGTGCAGTGGAGCTGGGCGAGGCGGCGAGGTGGAGACACACGACGCTCACTTTGAGCCACGCTTCAATTGCAAATGCGCCAGCAAGCAAAAAGCATTGACGCAGCTACCAGATATTGTTGTTGTCGTTGTTGTTGTTGTTGTAATTGTAAATTCTACAGGTTTCGCTGACGCTGTCTGTGTAGCAGTTGTTGCCTTAATGGCGCATAACAACAACAACAATGCTCCGCAATTTTACGCCAAAGCTAAAAAGGCGATCGAATCGAAGCAATCGTCGATCAAAGCTCCTCCAATCGTAGGCAAACCGGGCCAAGAGCCAGACAGCATCCGATTCGCAGGCACTGTGACCAGGCTTAAGCGAAATCTTATAAACAGCTTAGAAATCCTTAAAGGCTTATGACCAGCTGAATTCCTTTAATAACGGCATTTTAATTGGATATAGACTATAATCTCCTTTATCGTGGCAGTCGATTGCTTCCGGAAATTTGTGACACGGCGGATTAAATATTTTCAAACAAATGAATAATAATTAAAAGTAGTTAACAAGTATATAAATTTTATATGGAAACTAGATACATATGATAAGTAACAGGAAGGCTATACTGTACAGTAAGTACTCTTATTGAGCTCCAATATAACTTTCTTATAATAAGTCTAACACAGCTTGACTTTAGAGTGGTAAGAGTAAAAAAAAAAATTTGATCTTATTTCAATTTTTTTGCTTACGAATTGCCTGCGTACAGAGAACTCAAGAAAACCCGCTCAGAACAGTTACAAATTGATTGCAAATGGCGTTTATTTTGATGGGACTTAAGCAACGATTTGGTTTTGCTTGTGCCCACTGTGCAGCGCTTGCACATTGCATTGGCTTGCCCCACAACAACGTTGCAGTAATACTATGTCTATGAGGCCCCGAGCGCCTGCGTGCCGTTGGTTCGTGGCCAAGTTGCCCAAGTTGGCCAACTGCTTGGGCCACTTGGTGTTCGATACGAATTGGCAGCCGTCGGGGCTTCAGTCGATGCGACTCAACTCGAATCGGTTTAACTTTGGTTTGGTTTCGATTTGTTGTTGTTGTGTGCGATTGGAACTCGTAATTGTTTCATAAAACGCAAAACTGGCCGGACAGGCCAACTGACAGGGACCGCTGCAGCAACGAGGGCGGGCAGGGGCAGCGGGGCGGGGCAGCTAGCTCTGAAAACAGGTGCGCAAAACGCAAGCGCGCGTTTTCTTGTTTTTTTTTTTTCAACAACAATTTTTATTTTTGAATTGCGAGTTGAGCGTTGGCTTTTGGGGCAACACTTTTCGATTTTAATTATGGCTCTTCGAATCGCATGCGATATATATCGCTTATATATATGTAAAAGGCAAGCGGCACAAGGTTATTTGCAGCTCGAAGAGTTATTCCTTGCCTACGAAGACTTATATATATTAAAATATATTTATATATATATATATTTATTCATACGATCCATTTTAGGTGACTGGGCTGCGCTTATTGGAACGCAACACCCTGGCCAGCACGTAGACCGCCCACTTGAGATCTAGTAATCATGTTCTACATTTACAGCCATTCATGTGGGGAATATTATATACATATGTGTGCTCTGTTCTGATCTGATCTAGATTGTCATTGCCTTGCCCATAGTCACAACATAATTTGCACTTGGGCCAAGGCGAATCTTATACTGATTATAGCCTATGCGTATCTAGGTGCGTGACAGTTGTGCAGTTAAACAGTTAGATTATCAAGATCCATCTGTTAAGTACAGCGATGTCTCGAATATTGTTAAGCCTTGGATGTCAAGTGTTGCAGCATTCAAAATACTTTTTTGAAAGAAAACAGAAAATGTTTGTTAAGCATATTAATTATGGTGCAAGGCTTTGCGCTATGTTTTCACGATGTCATCTCCAATTTGTTGTAAACTCTTTATTAGGCACAAGGTCATCTGTTTATGAATCATTGTTAATGTACCTTAAACAGCTCTATCGAAATTGATTAAATAATTGAGTCACACTAAGAATTGCGCAGTTGTAAGTGCCAGAAATATTAAATTGCTTTACACGTGTCTTATCTGGCCGCTTGTGCTACCGTCCAGATAATGCACAAGGCTTAGGATGATCACAATATTGCAGAATAAGTCTATAACTAGCTGAAAGATACAAAACGTTCTAATGTCAAGGAAACTCTGTAGCTGGCTTTACAGCTTTGCTTCAAACTTAAATACCATAAACTGCAAAGCAACAATAACAAATAGATACACACACACGAGATTGTATCTCAAGTTACGCGCACACGCGTCGCCTTTTGTCGGCGCATTTGTGTTTACACCTGATTGCAATTTGTATCTAGCAGATACAAGTGTGCTTTGCATACAACGAATGCCGTTAAAACGCTATAAGCAGCGAGCTTTTTAGTCGTAACTGTAACCGACTCGGATGTATCTGTGGATCTGCGTATCTGCATGCCGCGAAGCGTGCACTCAAAAAAATAAAAACTCGTCTCGTCTCTTTTTGTCTTACCTCGTGGTATTTTCTTTCGGCCTTATTAATATTTATCAATTGTTACTTAACTTGTTTTTGATTTCTTTGTCTTCTTTTTTTTTATTTTAAAACACTTTTCGTAAACAAATTCAAAGAGACGCAAAGCAAAAGAAAAAACCAAAAACATTTGCATAATTTGGACACTTTTTAAGGGGTTTTTTGATTAAGGTGTAGACGATGGAGAAGCAGAAGCATTAAACAATTTCTGTTTAGTTTTAATTGATTTTTAACATTTATTGCCGCGTATTCAAGGCATTTCGTTGAAATAGCCAATTTGACCTTATTATTGAGTAGCTGTCTTAGTTGGAATTATAATTAAGTACTTGCTCGTCGCTTGAGCAGGTGTCTTGGCGTGCTGCTTTAATTAATTGCTCGCAACTATTTACTTTATTGAATATTGAATGCCGAATGAAGTGGCTCGTGGCTTAGATATTAAAGCTGGTCAATATTTCATTGCTTGGCCACTTTTTGTGGCCATAGAACCGTGTCAAAGCATTGAAAATCAATTTGGAAACGCAATTAAAACATGTGTTAAACTCTAACTGGAAAAGTACTACCTACGCTCAGGTGAAACCACAAGCAACGAAAGCTGAGCAGTGAGATGCGATAAAGAAACTGTTTGTTTTTTTCACAGCTCGCCGCTCGCAGCTCGCAGCTTGGAGCTGGCAGCTGACAGCTGACTATTACAACGGGCGGTTGGCCCGTAAGCCCCACCCACGATAAGCATATTTACATTGCGGGGTGTTCGAGATTGGCCAAAACAACCCGAGTGTTCGGCAGCTGGCTTAGAACACCTAACCATGCCCAGAGTGTCTATCTTACCAAACAGCACGCATTCTCGACCGTTTGCCAAGTATCTGCGACTCTGACTGAATTGTTGTGCTTCGCATTTAGTTAGTTTCATTTTTTGTAGCTCACAGTTCTGTTTGAGTTTTTATGAAATGCTTTTCGCACTCACTGTTAAATTTTAGTACAAGCACATAAATGCATGTGTGTGTGCTTCTAGAATAGTTTTTATAGCTTAAGATTTGCTTCATGCACAGCTGAGGCAGAGACTCACAGCCTCACAGTTAACTTGGTGTATAATCAGCAGGTATGCTATCTACTGTGTTAACTTAGCCAGGTTATCTAAATAAATTGTTTACCACACTAAATCAAAAGCTATATTATCGGTGCTTTAGCAAATTGCAAAATAATTATTACGTGAGCAGGTAGCACTTAAGACTG